TGTGACTGTTTCACTCCTGATCGACCAGGTTTAACCATTGTGGCTTCTTAGGTACGACCTATATGGCTGTGATTTTTCCTCGAACGGATGCTCCTTTTGTAATTTGAACGCTTGGTCAAACTAGCTAACACCTACCCTGCCCCAGGTTAAAATAGAGGGTATTTCGTTTTTCAGAAAGAAACTCCTACTACAAGGCTCAAAGGGGTCGACAAGGGATTATCTTCCTTATATCTCTGGTGTTTAGGGATTTGAAACAATGCCTGTACATCATCAACAGGTTTTTATTCAAGAGCATACAGTCGGAAGCTTACGCGTCTTTTCGATTTCGTCATCCTCCCCGGATTCCACTTAAACAAGCGTTTGAAATAAATGAAAACAATAGAGTGAACACGAATCAATTAATTCAAAACATGCATATTTATTTCATTATCAATATCAATTGAAAAACAACAAGTTTTGTAAACAAGATTTGCATATAGACAGGAAAGAAACTACAAATGCAAAGAAATAACAGGATGGAATGAAAATTGCCAGATTCCGGGAACTGGGCTTCTTGTATTTTGGTTTGCTGGTGAATCAGCCATCTTCAGAATTGTTGGTCGGAGGTAGTCCGATACTATTCTGATCTTCTTCCAGTGAATTACTCCACAACATGAACTGTTGAGCTCCCACGACTGGATGAGGGAAGATTGTTAATATGGATTCCCCGACGTGCAATCGAGATTGTACCGGAGCCTAGGAGGGCCCAAATCGTGCTCTTGAGCACTTTATAATCCATTGGGCCTGGAAAAGAGGGGGTGGGGATAACAAGTCACTTAAGCCCACTCAAAATTTTTAAACAAAACGGTGCGTTTGGGAGTGTGGTGATGTGGCATGTTTCTGGACGTTAGATGAGAGTACTTGGTCAAGGATTCACAAGTGATCTGACGACCATGGCATTATCTTCTTCCTTTTGAATCGTAGAAGGAGGGAAAAATATAGCGCGACCGTCGTGGTGGCCGGACGGTACTCCGGTGGCTTCCTCAAACCATATCTCACTCAAAAATGCTCCAAACGCAAAGTTTCTTGAACCAAAATCGTGGCATTTTTCACGAGGAATCCAAATGTAGTAATGAATTGCACTAAAACTTCCTCAAATTCCAAACCCGTGTGACCTCAAGAAAATTCCAAGAACCATCAAACTCCATGAAAACTCTCCAATTGTGACCAGAAACGTAATTCACATTAAGGGGATTGTAATGGCATGAAAATGGTGCAAGAAAGATACATAATTATTGAGCTATCTTGATTTCCATATACGTCTGAAAATTGTGTTGTATAGCTTCAACCAGCCACCAATCCTTCAAGAATTTTGTGCAGAATCACTCAGTGATTGTTGTTGGAGGTGTTTGGATGGTTGAGAGGTCTTGAATTGATGAAAAATGAAGAACTCGAAAATCACTTGGAAGCTCACTTTTTCACTTGCTATATCTCTGTTTCTACACCAAATTCAACCAAAAAAATGATGAATGTCATGTACATTATAAAAGATGTTTGATCCAAATTGGGGGCCCAATTGTGTAAGAATCAATGAATTAGATTTTCAAATTTTGTGAAGTTGGAAGCCCATGAATATGCATGAATCCATGACCAATTCTCCTTGTTTCTGATTCAATTCCTTTCCTTGTAGTGTAAGGAAGATCAATGGCTCATAATCTCCCCTTGTTTGGATCTCAATGGCCATAATCCAATATGTTGCTTAAACATGAAGAAAGCTTGAAATACCCCATGAAATATGTCTCAAATGCAATTGATTTTGTCACCAATGTTCTTAAAATGTGTTTTTCATTTAAAATATACACAAACATGACCATGTTTGATTTAATTTTGGCAAGATCACAAACTTGGCTTTTCACATGCCTTTACCTAAGTGCACCACCTTCAGCTGTGGCCTCTTGTACTTGGCATAATGAATTCAATGAGCTATATAATGATCCTCAAGACCCTCCATGAGCTCTAACAACAAATATCCATCATATCAATGGCTCTAGGACCTCAGATGCCCCTCAGATGGCCTCCAAGATAGGAGGTGAACCATGCACACTTGTTTGCCTTTCTCTAAGGACTTTGAACTTTTTCTCTGATACTAATAAGCACTTGATGTCTTGAATAAGACCCCTTAGTGAGCACATTTTCCTTAATCCCCTGCAACAATGATTTATGATATGCAAATGGTAATGCTAAATGAAATGCAAAGAACCAAAAATCAAGGAGAAAAGGTTGGGCAAATTTTGGGGTGCAACACTCGCATCCCACTTTCCAATTCCCAAGTCATATTGCCTTCAGAAACGTCTCCCCACGCTACTTTCACAAGCGCAATGTCATTGCCTCTAAGTTTCTTAACTTCACGGTCCAAAATTCTAACCGGTAAAACTTCAACCGTAAGGTTATCTCTCACCTCTACCTCATCCATAGGAACGACATGTGACGGATCCGGAACATACTTCCGAAGTTACGAAACATGGAACACATCATGCAAATTCGAATGAGATTGTAAACCTTCTGAGGATAGCATTTTCTTATTCGAATGAGATTGTAATCCAAGATGGGAACAACCTCTTTCTGCTCTTGATGAGGGTTTGAAGTTTCTTCCTTGTATAGTCCCCAATTGTAAGAACTCTCACAAACTACTAAAGAAAATTACCTCAATGCTATTGTATATGTAATGGTGTAATGGTGTCAGTGTCCTCGGTTTTTGACATTATCAGTATCGGAGTATCCATGTCATGCCGTGTCTCGTTGTCCGTAGCCGAGTCCATGGATTATGTATTAAGATTTGCAAGAACCATTTTTGCAGGTACTTTAAACTATTCCTGTTCCGAAGCTCTTACTTCTGTACAACAAAACACAGGAAAAGCCAATGGATCAGTATTTGATGGTAATTGACAGATAACTTTTGGTATCTCAAATATTTTAGTTTTTCACTTTGATATGTAATGACATTTTGGTCATATATTGATGTAGTTTGCCATTGGGTTGATTGTGGAGGTGGCTCATTTAACAAAACATCCTTGTTCTCTTATAGTTGTAACTGTGATGCTGGATATTACAATCTTCTCAATGTCACTGTCTTTCCTTGCTTCAGAGAATGTAAGAGTATATAAACTGATGGAATTGATACTTTATTTTTGGTTTTGAAAGGGAAAATATATAACTTGAGATTTCATTTTTGTCCATAAGATGCTCTTGATTTCAGTTGCTCTAACATTTGAGTACCAATGTCAAACTCATCCACAGCTTAACCACCACCAGCATTCAATGAAAATTGTAAGAATTTGGATATTATATAATTTATTTATGCATTTTAAGATAGGATATAAATAATTTTAATGTGATGTTAATGTTCAGGTAGCTCAATTGTAAGACAAAGCTCCTAGTGGCTGCTCATGCTGTTGATTATAATTATAGCAAATGTGCAGATGAAGTAGATAACAACACACTTGGTGCATGGTTATGGCATTATCTTATTATTTGGTTAATTTTGGGTCAACACCAGATGATCCATAACCTTTTGCTCTAACTTGTGTTTTGTCTTGTTGTTTCCTAAACCAAATATGCAATCAGGGACTGTAAAATTGATAATTACATGAGGAACTTATAGCTAATTATATGGGAGTAGTGGCTAAATTTTCTACGACAACAATATACAATATTGTATGATTATTTAATATAAATGTATTTATCTAATCATTATTCATTTAATATTTAAATAAATCATTTTAAATACTATATTAAATAAATGATCTTGTATGGACGCACGAGTTTCTTAATTATGATCTTTGATATTTGTGGTCAAGTTTACAACTATATTTTCTTAAAATCTTATGGCAGAAAACAAAAATATTGAGGTGATTAGAGGGGATTTTTTTAATTACTGTATTTAATCCCTAAACATTAGTATTTCTTATTTGATTCTCCCTGTATATACTATATGATTTTCATAGCCCCTTCATGTGTTAAATATATACTTTAAGCATGTTTATTCTCGATGAGATTTTCGGAATTTATGTTGATAACATATGCATGTATTGATTGATTTTTGCTCCATAATTCAGACAACTTTTGAATTATTGGAAATCTATTTTATGAAGCAATTATGAACTATTGATTTAAAATTCAGACAATTTTGAAACTACAATAAAATCAGACAAAGATGTTAAGCCTTTCCCACACAACCAATCTGTGAAAGTTTCATTTGAAACACATATTAATGAGCAATGAAACTGAGCCGCCAGACAAAAAACAGTGAATACAATAAAGAATTTCACAAGAATACAAATTCTTCACACAAGAGTTATTGATAAGAAGAATCAAAGCCCAATTTGAAAAATGTAGAAAACAAATTCAAAGGAGTCTTGCAAAGAATAAATTCAAAGTCATTCTCTATTTATTGGTTAGTTTTGTATTCACTAGCCATAGAATTTAGAGATGTAAGTTATAGAAGTTTTAAAACTCTAGAACTACAATTAAATAACTCATTTCAAATTTAAATATACTTTATACAATATCAAATAAATTTACCCATGCTCCAGCACTAGTATTCTACTAGTAATTACATAAAATCAATTTTAATTTCTAGTAATTACATAAAATCAATTTTAATTTCTTAAAGTATTTGTGCCAACATGCCGTCGTGTCCATTTATGTGCTCCAAGGAACATAACAGTCTCTACAAAAGTTTGTGAACTCCATAACAACACTACACCTTTTCTCTTAAAAATAAAAACTTTACACATTCCATTGGCAGTAGTCTCCGAAACTTCCAACTTTCGAGAAGTTACAACACTGGTTTCCGATAAGCAGAACAATCAACTTTAGAGAGATAGTGTTCATTTGAGGATTAAATCAGGTCTTTCAATAATATTGTAGTTCAAATCAACGTAAATCATGCAATGTTAGAATGAAAGAATTAACTAGTAACAGAAACATGACATAATTTATTAAAAATGAATAGCATAATACTACAAAATTATGAGTTGACATTGTTCGTTTACTTCATCTTTAAGATGCTCATGAATAAGATTTCGATCAAAACTACGACAGCCACCAGATAACTTAGTCCATGATCCAGCACCTATATAGTAATTGTGACGGGAACTGAAAGTAATTTGCTTAAGCAAAGTTGCACTCCTCAATAGATGACTTGCTAACTCAATTACATATTTGGAGCAAACACAGCCATGTAACTCCACATATTTTAAACCATTGTGAAAAAACCCGACATATTCTCTTCTTTGCCTTTGAGCTCCAACTATATGTGATATTTCCGGATGTACATTAATCTGAAAATAATAAAGTACATAATTTACATACACAAATATTTTAAAATTCCATCAGGCGTATAAAACAAAAGCAAATTTCAACAAATTCGAGTAACATCTTTGCACCTCCGTGACTTACACATTACATAGCCATTTTATGCCCTTGTAACAACACAGAACTTCACAATTGAATTAACTTATACATTCCTATTTCTATAATCTATAATACACATAAAAATAACAATTAGTTCTGAAAATTTATTCAGGCAGCTAAGAAAAATTACAACCATTAGTTATTAAGCATACTAAACTATCATTTTGTGATTCTATCCGCAAAATTATCTATTTATTTTTTAATAATGAACAAAATTTCTTTCTGTAGACAAACACATTGTAAATATTAAAAAAGGAAAATGAAACTTATAGTTCAATTAATGTTTAATTTCATAAGATTGATTCACATATGACTATTTATTAGAAAATATTGTCCATAAAAAAAATAGTAAATTGTAACATATTAATAAAATGAACAATCGTGTTGAGTAACTCACTCACCGATAGAGAAAGTTTTTGGAGATGTTGAGAAGTCATTGCAATATCTAAAATCCAAGAGTAGTCCATCATCTTAAGATTAAATGTAATAATTAATTCCAATTGCGTAAGATTTTGAATTTGAACCAATTCCTTCGGTAACGTGGATATCTGTCTCCACTAGTAACAATATTTAAAGTGAATTAAAAACAATTAAAGGATATCCAAGAGCTACAGTTACAGAAACATAAATATATACTAGCATGTATGGGTTTTGAGTGACTCACCTGTGAAACAACTAGTTTCATAGTTAAATTCTCAACCTGGCGTAATCTTGCAATTGCACCAAAGCTATTTATTTCAAACAAACCATCCCAAAAAACCTTCAATAACTTTGGAGCTTCAACCGAGATTATAGGCCTCATGTAGCTCGTGTGATTTCCGTATTCAAAGGATGAGAGATTCAAAGCATCAATATCTATCTTATAAGAATCTTGATTCTTAGAGAGTCTCACACAGCGAGAATCAATTATGCTCAAATGACGCAATTTTGAACTGATAATTTTCATATCACACATAAAAAGGCAATTTTTAAAGGTGACATCTTCAAGTTGGAGACATTTAGAAAACAACCAAGTTATGACATCACCATCACCTGGGAGAACTTCATGGAGATCATCCAACACAATTGTTGTTACATTTTTCAGTCCAGAAAAATTGACAAGTTTAAAAATTCGACGACATCTGTAGTTAAACTGGGACAAGGTATGAGACCTGATGTTCAATTTGTGCAATCTGCGTGAATGGATACACTTGGAAGAATATTCAATGGATAAGAGATTTGATGCAATGATATCAATTTTCTTCGCCATTGTGGCCTTTGTAATGTTACGCCCGCAGTCAATGTTCAAATGAAGCAAAGTTGTACTCCTTATTTTTAAATCAGATAAGAAGGTACACTGGTTAAGAGTGAAGTTCTCAAGATGGATGCAGTTAAAACAGAGGGGCCGAAGCATATTCTGCTCCACAGGAACTAGATGCAATACAAGAGTTTTCAAATTCTTCAATCCAGAAAACTTCATAGGCGCTGCTATGTGGCAGTTCTGTAGGTGCAGATATGTCACAGAATTAGTATCAGACAATAAAGGAAATAAAAATTTGTATGGCTCTATTTTAAAATCAGCGTCACATGGGAAGAGGAGCTCAATACGGTTAGCCCCTTTAAGGGCTGCTTTGTGAATCAATCCTTTAATGGCATAAGTATGATCGACACCTAATGGAAAATTTACTCGGATTGAACTGATGGTGTCACCGGGATATTTCTGCATGAAATTATCCAATATTGTGGCAAATTGAGATTGAGCCTCTTGAAGGCGCGGAAGGGTTTTTGGTAGCTCCGGCATTGTATTAGAATCAAACATGTTATGGAGATCAAAATTGAGATCCTTCTTTAATCCCCATTCGCGATACCATTGTTTGGACAAAGCACTAGTTTTCACCAAAGTCTTCAAACTCAACATGGAAAAGATATCCGATATAATACAATCAGGCAACTCAGTTGACTCGCTCTTGAGTTTTTCAACTCCATTCATTGTTTCTACAATGTAAACAATAATGAATTTGAATTAACATCATAACCAAGGTATTGTGATTTTATTAATTAATTTCAGAATGATAATACAACAGGTAAAGTTTCATATTCCAATTAGAAGCTAGAAAATAAAATTGAGTTAGAGGAATGAATACCACAAGGCTGCTGTTGATCGCGATGCTTTGTGTTTTGGATGGAAAACCTGGAGAAGTAGGATTTCTATCCGTCTAAAATTAGGGTTTATTCTTTTTAGTTTATATTTATATTAGTGAAAACATTTGAAATCTCCATTCTAAGGCTTTAAGTGGGCCTCTCTCTGATGGGTTTTCGCTGGCTGGAGTTATCTAGCCCTTTTTAATTTCCATTTTTTTACTTGCCATGAGATTAAGATTATTATCATTTTTAATTGTAACACCATAATTTTTATGAAGAATCAATTTATTGTAAATATTTTTGTTTAAATTATTATTTGTAACTTTTTAATGGACTAGTTAGGTCAAAATTTTTAAGACGAGACAATTAGTCTTTATTGTTAGTCACCGGCAGTTGTTAGTGCAAATTGTATTTCATTAAGGGACCAGTTGAGTCAGAATCCTTAAGAAGAGACGGTTGTTTGTGTTGTTAGTCACCAGTGGTTGCTAGTGCAGTGTAATCAGTTGATTATAATGGGTTAAATCTTTGTGTATAAGGCGAAATCACCTTGGCCGGTAGACTGGATTAGCTTGATAGTTTTCAAGTGAACTAGCTTATATCATGTGTCTTTCTCTCTTGTTAGTTTATTTGTGATATTTTTTTGAGTTTCACAAAAAGCTTTCATTTTTAAAAATACAATTCAAACCCCTCTTTCTTGTGTTTTCTCACACCTTCAATTGGCATCAGAGTTTCGGTTCTGATTGTGATGAAAGTTTTATCAATACTTCATCGTGTTCAGTATCGATCCAGTATTTGTGTGAGATATCATTGATGCAGCTAATGTTAATCTTATTCAAGATGATAAAGATCACTATAGTGACAAACCATCAGTCTTTGATGGTGTTTGACTACTGAAAAGATAAAATTGAAAGTTTCTTTCTTGGTTACGACGTAGATCTTTGGGATCTCGTAGTTGATGGACATACTCACCCAATTGATATTGAAGGAGTAAAAGTATCATGAAGTGTTATAACCAACCAACAAAAGAAAGATTACAAGAATCATCACAAGGCAAGAACTATACTGCTAAATATTGTCTCTTATACTGAGTTTGAGAAGATAACAAATAGAGATACTGCCAAGTCTATTTTTTATTCTCTAAGAGTGACTCATGAAGGAACTGCTCAAGTTAATGAGACAAAGGCGCTTGCCTTAATCCATAAATATGAGACATTTATAATGGAGGATGATGAAACAGTTGAGAATATGTTTTCAAGGTTTCAAATGCTAGTCGCATGACTTAAAGTTCTGGACAAAGGATACTCAACTGCTGATCATGTTAAAAAGATCATCAGAACTCTTCCCAAGAAATGGAGACCTATGGTAACTGCTCTAAAGCTATCCAAGGATTTAAATAGTATAAATCTTGAAGAAATTATTAGCTCTTTAAGAAGTCATGAGATAGAGCTAGAAGAAGATGAACCTCAGAAGAAGAATAAATATATTGCTCTTAAGTCCAAACCTAGAAAGACAAAGGTTTATCAAGCTGAGGAAGAATCAGAAGATTCTGATGAAGACTCAGAAGATGAGATATCACTTATCTTCAGAAGGATCAACAAAATTTGAAAACATAGGCAAGGGAAGTTCAGATGATCAAAAAGAAACAAAAGTCGTGCTAACTCATCTTCTAGACAGAAGTAGAATTTTGGAAAAGAAGTCATCTGCTATAAGTGTAATGAGTCAGGTCATTACAAGAACGATTGTCCAAAGATTAAGAAATACAAGAAGCCTAAGAAGATTTTCACCAAAGTCAAGAAGCGACTCATGGCAACTTGGGACGACTCTGATTCTGAAGAAGAAGAATTTGATGAAGAACAGGAAAATGTTGCACTAGTGGCAACAACAAGTAACACTAAAGTCTCTGTAGAACTAGAAGACAAAATACTATCAGAATCAGAATCAGACTCAGACTCAGACTCAGACTCAGAGGTATTATCTAAACTTTCTCGTTATGAATTAGAGTTGTGTCTTTCAGGAATGTTGGAAAGATATCAAACTCTTCAAAATAAATACAAGGATCTTAAAAAATCTCATGTAATTACTTCTAAAGCCAGAGATAAGCTTGAACAGAATAATTCTTCTTTGAATGAAAATGTTTTTTCTTTAAAAAATATTAACTGTGCTTTGAAAAGCAAAGTTTCTAAACTATAAGAAGAATTAGTCTCAAATATCTCTAACACTAATTGTGTCAACAAGTATGATAGAGCATTCCAACATTTTATGGATAAAAGCATAGATAGAAGTAAGATTGCTTCCATGATCTATGGATTTAGTAGAAATGGTAAGAAAGGTTTGGGGTGTACAAAAACATTTGAAAATGACGAAAGTTAACCTGTAAAACGAAAACCTCTCTATGATCATTGTGTGCCTTTTGGTACTAAGCTTGATTGTTCTAAGCTTGTGAAAGCAACTTCACCGACACAGAAATCTATTTCTAAATCTAAGTTTCATGCACAAATTCCACTTGACTATCCTGTTGCACATAAGCCCAAGGTTATTAAATACTCTGGGAAAACTAACAAAAAAGACCTATAAAGTGGGTACCTAAGGATAAGATAATCTATGTTGCATATATCCTTAGCAACTCAGTTGAAACACCAATCATGGTACCTGGACAATGGTTGCTCGCGACACATGACGGGAAGAAGACATATGTTCCAAAGTCTGAAACTTAAGCCTGAAGGCTTAATCGGTTTTGGAGGAAACCAGAAGGGTAAAATCATTGGCTCTAGAACTATTGGTAATGGTAAACTTCCTTCTATTACTAATGTTCATTTGGTCGATGGTTTGATTCATAACTTATTGCCAATTAGCCAACTTAGTGATAATGGTTATGATATTATTTTTAATCAAAAGTCCTGTAAGATTGTTAGTCAGGAAGATGGCTCAATCCGTTTTAATGGAAAGAATAAAAATAACATTTACAAGATTAGACTTTCTGATCTTAAGAAACAGAACGTCAAATGCTTAATGTTTGTTAATAATGAGCAATGGATATGGCATAGACATTTGGGCCATGTTAGCACGAGGAAAATTTCTCAGTTAAACAAGCTTAAACTTGTTAGAGGCTTACCAAATATGAAGTATTCTTCAGATGCTCTTTGTGAAGCATGTTAGAAAGGAAAGTTCTCCAAAATTTCCTTTAGAGCGAAAAATGTTATTTCTACTTCTAGACCGTTAGAACTTCTGCAACATGATTTGTTTGAACCAGTGGAAACTACCTCAATCAGTGGAAAGAAGTGTAGATTAATTATTATTGATGACTATAGTCGTTGGACATGGGTAAAATTCTTGAAACACAAGGATGAGTCACATTTTGTGTTCTCTACCTTTTGCTCACAAGTGCAAACAGAAAAGGATTGCAAAATTGTCAGAGTCAGAAGTGATCATGGTGGAGAACTTGAGAATAGATACTTTGAGAATATTTTTTATTTCCATGGAATTTCTCATGATTTTTCTTGTCCTAGAACTCCACAACAGAATGAAGTAGTGGAAAAGAAAAATAGGACTTTGCAAGAAATGGCTCGTACCATGATCCAAGAAACTGACATGACTAAGAACTTCTGGGTAGAGGTAGTAAATACAACATGTTATATTCAGAATAGGATTTGTATCAGACCTATTCTGGGTAAGACTCCTTATGAACTGTGGAAGAATAGAAAACCCAACATTTCATATTTTCATCCTTTTGGTTGTATTTGTTTTATGTTGAACATTAAAAAGAATCTTCGCAAGTTTGACTCCAAAGCTCAAAAGTCTTTATTGTTAGGATACTCTGAACACTCTAAAGGCTACATAATCTATAGCACAGAAACATGAATTATTGAGAAATCAATTCATGTAAGATTCGATGATAAGCTTGAACCTAAAAAGTCAAAGTTAGTTGTAAAAGTTTGCAGATTTGAAGATTACCTTATCAGAATCTAAGGAGGAAGGTTCTAAAGAAGGAGACAAAGATGCAGAATCTACATAATCAGATACAATCTCACCAGAAACAAAAAATAGTCCATCTCATCAAAAGAAGAATAAGTTAAGGACTTCTCATTCAGAAGAATTAATTCTTAGAGACAAAGCTGATCCAGTCAGAACTCGTTCATCATTCAAACCTTCTGAAGAAACTCTTATGGGTTTGGTGTTACTAATAGATCCAACAATAATTGATGAAACTCTTCAAGAAAATGAGTGGATTCTAGCCATGCAAGAAGAACTGAATCAATTCACCAAAAACGATGTCCGAGATCTTGTTCAGAAACCTAAAGGTGTCCATGTCAGTAGATCAAAATTGAGGTCCTTACTTAATCGTCATTCGTGATACCATTGTTTGGACAAAGCACTAGTTTTACCAAGTTTTTCAAACTTAACTTGGAAAAGATATGCGATATAATACAATCAGGCAACTCAGTTGACTCACTCTTGAGTTTTGTAAGAGTATTCATTGTTGCTACAAACCGTAATGTAAAAGTTTCAGAATTTGAATTAACATCGTAACCAATCAAAGGGAAGTTATATGTGATTTTATTAATTTCATTAGCATGTAGTAATGATGATTTTGTAAAATTTCATAATGGAATTAGAAGCTACAAAAGAAAATTGAATTACAGGAATGAACACCTACCTTAGCGAACGACAAATTCTGGAAGCTGAACGTGAGAAGCTTTCTGTTGAGATAATATTTTTTTTATGAAGAATAAACCTTTATACTATGGAGAAAACGATGAATGTGATTAAAAGCTAGGAGAAGTTGGATTTATATCTCTGTAGAATTAGGGCTATTTTGAAATCTTCATTCTAATGTGTTTTTTGGGTTGG